AACACTATATTCAGTCTGGACTGTAAGTATTTCTCTATTTCTTTGTTTATATTAGAGTAGAGTGGTATTGATTTACTTTCATGAAATCGTGATGTGTGGTACGCCAGGTCAATTTGATATATTCAAGAAAATGTACCTTAAGTGATACTGTATTTTGGCAATTTTTTCTGATAAGTTTAATATGTATATTCCACATTAGCAAAAGTTTCGAGTTGAGTTACCTAAGTTAATCTTGTTTTGAGGCACATTTTGTAAAGCTATTTTCCAGAATTGATAGGAAAACCAACACAAAATTTACCAGTTGTTTATCTTTAGAGGCGATTTTCTCATAAGTATGTTTTTAGGCATCTGAACTTTAAAATGATCTTACTCTGTAGAGTGGTACAGTGCTGGCTCCTTTTCTTTATACTGTGTTTATATCTGACTATAGGTCTAGCTATCAAGACTGTCCAGTTATCAAATTTGCTGATGACACTGCAATTTTAGGCCTTATCAAACATGATAATGAGAGCCTGGTACACATTTAAAATTGAATGTTTTTCCAGATTTTTAAAGATAATCTTCTTAAACTCAATGTTTCCAAGACCAAAGAAAGGTTATTGATTTCAGTATAAAATACAAAAAGAAAACTAGAAATATCATCATTGATAATAATCCAGGGGAGAAGGTATCCAGTTATAAGTACCTTGGAGTAAAATTTGATAACAAATTAAATTTTTTGGAGCACACAGAATTTGTCAGGAAGAAATTAAATACTCACATGTATTGCCTTTAATATGAAAATGAATGCATTCAATGTTAATACTAAAATCATTAAAATGTTCTATTCATCTGTAATTTGTAGGGTATGGAGCTATTGATTAGCAGGTTGGGGAGGTAATGCGTGTCAATGTGATAAAGAATTAATAGATCGTTTGATCAGAAAAGTCAGCAGAATTTCAAAGACACATCTGCCTTCAATTGACTTTGTATATCACGATAGGGTGACTGAGCTATTCCGTCATATCATGAATGACGAAATTCATCTGCTTCATGATATGCTTCTTGGCTCCATTAACCCTAAGAGTGGTAGTATGAGAGTACCGATTGCAAACAGAAATAGATATCATAATTCATTTATCGCTAAGGGTATAAAATACTTCAATGAAAATTATGAGAGATAGATAATAATCACAATATTGTAATAATAATAATAATAATAATAATAATAATGGTGATAATGATAATTGTAATAATGATGAAAATAATAATAGTGGTTATTATTATTATTATTAAAAAATATTAAAATAATAATAATTATTATTATTTGATTTTTCCTCTTAAGTAGTTTCTCTTTTTTAAAATGTGTAACCCTTTTTTGTTCTCTTCTAACTTTTTTTTATTATCTTTAAATATTGTAGGCCTTCTAATTTTAAATTTTCTGTGCTTTTTTATGGAATTTTGATGTTTGACCTTGACCAATTTTTATGTGATTTTCTTGAAAATGTTCTTTTTGCGAGCTTTGTAATTTCTTCATTTATTTTAACTAGAGACAATAAATTTCATCTTGTATCTTGTACCTTGTAGTCCGGTTTTACACAACCCAGAAACATGATTTAAAGACCAAAATAAGTATTAGTATAAATAAGCTATTTAAATAATAATAATAACTCATTTTTCATACCACACGACTAATTTTGTCACGACAGCTCACAAATTTCTTTGTAATTAAATCATTGGATCACTTAAAAAGCAACAATGGATTTACTAACTTACAGATTGACTGGTGTATTCAAAACCCCCAATATAGACTAGAAATCTTGATAAATCTCATAGCTTTGACTGTATTAGATTTATTAAGGCATTTGATTTAATTTTTTTACCAACTTATAGTTTTGATAAATATTAAGCTGGAATTCCTTGTCCAATGATGAGGTTAATATAACAATGGTGGATCCAGGAATTCCATATAAAGGGAGCTGAGGTAAAAAAATTGATGATTATGGCACCTTGACATGGCTGGAGATGGCACTCTCAGACATAAATACAGTATAGTTTTCTTTTTTTCTCCATTTTTACATAATTCAGGAAGAGATAAAGGATAATTCCTGAGGGGTGATATAGGAAGAAATAGCACATTAATCTTTAATTACTTATACGGATTTTAGTAAAGCTTTTGATTCTGTTTCACTTAATGTGCTTATTTTCAAGCTAAAAAGTTATACTATAGTCGGCAACTTACAGTACTTTCATGGTTTTCCAGTTATGTTTATGATCCTAAACAAGGATTTGTTATTAACAGAGTTTGTTCAAATTTTATTGGGCTCCTACTGAATTTGGAGTCCCACAAAGCTCCATTCCCGGGCCCATTCTCTTCGACTTTAATATTTATAAATTATGTTCCTGATTTCCTGACTTGTCTAAATGCCTTATGTATGCTGATGATCCTACAATTTACCGGACACGTCGCTGTCTTAATGATATTGATTCACTTGACAATTGTGTAATAATAATGGGCTTGTTCTCAACCACTCTAAATGCACGATTTTTACAACTACTCTAAAAACAAAACCATCTTACACAAGGTATTATAAATGGATCTGTCTTAGAATTCACACATTGTCAAAAATATTTAGGTATTTCTGTTGACTGAAAACTTACTTTTTTGGTCATATTGATTTTGTAGCCAAAAAGGCTAATAAACTGTTAGGAAGGTTTTGGAGAAACTGCAATAATTTGTCTCTCTCATTACAAAAAGATTACTTTATAATTCTTGAATCCATCCAGTTATTGATTATAATTCCATCAATTTTACTTAAATAACCAAGGCTCTCATGTTCATCATCTTGAATAATTTCACACATGCTGTATTAGGTTTGTTATATAATAATTTTTGAGTAGTTTCATTTGGTTTGCTTATGAATGTAGAATTTTTTCATCGATAATAAACCAAGCACAACTTGCTGCGAGCTTTCGTTGATGTTATCAACATGGATGTTAGCACACAGGCTGACAAAGTCATCAAATTGACGTTACAATGTACAATATATATAACTACTGTAAGTCTAAACTTGTAACCAGTGTACCCACAAAGTGATGCTGTCTGGTATTCTAAAGGTAAAATACTACAAAATATAAATTGAATTATTATTTTTCACCTGCAGTTTGGCTCCCTCTATATAACCAAGCACCTTCTCCATGTGTTCTTTGCTGATCATTGCTCCAACCATTGTATCCTCAGCCATAGGATCACCAATCTTCATGTCTTTTATCTTATCCAACAATTTTTCTAAAAACTCATCTTTAATACTTTGTTCTACAAACACCCTTGTGCCATTTGAACATACCTTTAAAATAAGAAATACGTATTAATATAAGTAAGCCAATCGTGATGCTAACTTTTATGTAAATTTTCTATCCCCAAGTTTTATTTGCTTTTACATCGTTACACTAAAGCCCCTATCGCACTGGACTTAATTTGGTCAAATTAACCGAGTCACTGGCTAAATTGACCAAAAAAAATCCAATCCAAATGTCGGTTACCATTCCCTCAGGGTTAAATTAACCAAGCCGAATGGGTAATTTTACTGACCTCAGTCTGCCCAGTAAAGCTTACCACGGACTCGGTTAAACTAACCACGCTGGTCAAGAAGTCCAATCCGAACGTGCAACATGGTTAAAACTTCTTCCATGTTGACACCGCTCGAACAAAACCGGAAGTTGAAGTCACAAACTAGCGCCCTCAATAATATTTTTTATACTCAAGGTTAAATCTTAGTAAAACTATGGTAAAACTAACCGCGTGAATAATCCAAGTGCGAATAATGGTGAAATGTACCCATGACTTTGGTTAAAGTTACCCTGGTTAAATTTACCATTTTTTAAATCCAGTGCGAACAAGGCTTAAATCATCATTATGAAGACAACAAGAATATTATTCAAATTTACCACCATTTTCCTACCTCTCCCTGTGTCATAAAATTAGCTAACATTGCTCCCTTTACAGCATTATCGATGTTACAATCAGCAAATATAATCAGAGGAGATTTGCCTCCCAGTTCCAAAGTAATCTTCTTAATGTCTCCCGCACAGTCTGCCATAATCTAATTTGAATTCAAATGAACAAAGCATACAATTAGTCATTACATCAACATTCCAAGAGGATGCACTTTGTAGTGATCACACTATTTTATGTAGAGTATAAGAATTCATGAACAAAATAATCTGTCTAAAGCAACTTGGCATTTCCACCAAAGGCATTGAATGCTGCAATTTGATTGATGTGAGCATGCAGTGGAAATACTATTTCCTCCATGGTATACCTATGTCACATTTCTGCTTGCAGAGCATGATGGAAAAACATTGTGAACAAAATGCTTTAGAAACTAGCATTGGAATGAATTCCTGAGTATGTATATACTGGAAAATGCCCCTGCAAGAATAAACATTGATAAATATGTTCTGTACCTGTAAACAATTTAAAAGAATTGAAGAAATAAGAATAACAATGACAGCCAATAATGCTAGTTTATATGCTTCTGTATTATATCAAGAGAGGGTTTGTCAGCAGCAAAGAAAAAAAAAGTCAATATCTATGTGGAATAAAGGGATTGCGTCTTTTAAATTATGATAAATAATAAATTAGAGTATTTAAATTGTATATTGCCTGTTTAGAAAAATACTATTTGTTACTGGCGCTTAAAGATATAAGAATTAATTGATTAAAAGAGATAAGTTTCAAGGAGGGTCTTGAATGTTTAAATACAGTGCACCCTCCAATTCGAGACCCCTCTAATTCCAGACCACTTTTCCAAAGACCCAAATAACAATCTTCAACCTTTTAACACAAAGCTAACCCTCTAATTGGAGACCAACCCCAAGACCACCCCCAAATTTTCAGGTCCCAAAGGTGCTCTCAAATTGGAGGGCGAACTGTATCAGCATTACAGTAATTATTATTAAAAAGCAATTGGTTTTGTCTAACTTTTTCTCTACAATGTTTATTCCTAGGTTTCACTATGGTACACAACATGATTTTGCAATACACAGTTGAGAAGGTCATGTAGCTGAGGGGGGAGGCCTACAAAAAGACTATTTTTTTCCTACGCACTGTATATCAAACTGCAAGAATAAGAAAACAAACCACAAGGACGCCAAATAAGGCCAGAACTGTTAGTGTTTTTCCTTCCCAACAATATGTGTATCGCTGCATTCTGATAATATTTCCAATAAAATATTTCTGATAAAATTTGTTATTAAAGTCCAACATTTTTAGGAAGAAAGATGTTTATACCATTGGTCTGGTGTGCAATATGGCCTACTGCATGTGTATGTTAAAGGATGCAGTAACTTAAGAAATGTGTAGGGGATTGTCTGATGGTGTTCTGCTCATCATCACCAGAAGGACACTACTGGAAATACGTCTTTGGACTTTTGAGGGTTATCCTTGGTGTCCAACCAACAGATGGGTCACTCTGATGCTGGTAAATCTAGAGTAGTCTCAGTAGATCTTCAAGAGTGCAAATGAGTTAAGATTATTGTTACATAGAATAACCCATTATATGTGCAAAAAGTAGACTCAGTACAATGGCAAATTCAGGGACCAAGAGAGGGGCTTTCACAGTGAGAGGATCCACCCACCTCAGACCCACCATGATTGGGGCTGAGGTAAGATATATTATGATTATGGCACCTTCATAATGGTACTCTGAGACTTAAATTTGAATACAATTTTCTTTTATTCTCCATTATATTTTTTTATTTTAATAAATTTGGGGGGGGGGGGGTGAGGGACCGCGCTGACTGGGGCCCCTTGGATCTGCCACTGAAGTGTTAAGGTAAACCCATACTGTAGTATACATATTGTGCTTTTCAAGTCAAAATGATGACTTCACTTGGCAAGGAACATCAGTATTTACCACAATATGAACACATGGTAGAGATATTTCAATGACTTAGGAATACAAAATTTAAAAAAAATTATCTCTAGATATTCTCACCTTTTCAGGAAAATACCAGCTCTTTAGAAGTGCCAACTCAATTGAGTATGGTAGCTTACCTTTTTACCTGTGGGTACACTGCCTGTGAAAGATACCTTAGCCACATCATGATGAGATGTTAACAGTCTACCTGTTTCCCCTTGTCCCTGAATCACATTAAAAACACCATCTGGTATACCAGACTCTGTAAGAATAAATTTACATGATGACGATAATTTCTATCGAAAACCAGATAAAACTATTTACCCAAAAGAATAATATGCTCATTAAATATTTTATTATGTTAAATGTGAATAAACTTAACCAAAATGATTGTTGAAACCAAGACGGTCGAAAATTTAACACCAATATACGTCCGTCTATGCGAGAAATAGGGATTTCACCAGGTAATGTATGCGCCTCATTGCGAGTTAGCCAGAAGAATATAACCATTTCCAGTTGATTGTTGTTGATAATAAAGTTGGAATACTTTATTTTTGGATACCGAAAGTCATTAACATTCCATTAATGTTTTCGTCATACCATAGGGTTTGGTAGCTGTAAAGCTTACCATTCCAGTCTGTAATTGTTTGTAATACACAACATGGAATATAGAGGCGATTTGCAATCTGACCGATAAACAAGCTTTAAAAAAAAACACATTCAAATGGTAAGAGATTTGATAAAAAAAAACCATACAATTTCATGTATTTTCCGAACATATTTTCGCAAAAACTCTTTATACTTTAAATTTCTCAAGCCTTCTCTTCTAACTACTGCAATTTAAGTCAAATTGCCTCACAAAGCCCCTGATAAAAAAACAAATGACTTCAAATTTCACTCAAAATCATGCTATAAATCCCTCTCAGACTGGGATATTTTAAAAAGGGTTATATTTTTCTTTCTTGTGTTTGACCTTATTAGTTTCCAAAATAATTCTTATACAAACAATAAGCTCAGTCCTTAACATACAATTTAAAAAAAATATACTACATTCAATTTTAGACAGTTTTTTCTCATGTTAGACGTTTGAATGGTGAAATATGGGTAAAGAACCCCAATATATCATTATTTTTTTACACTGAAAATTGTATGTTCATGAAATGATTTTTAATATGTAGACTCATTTACATGATGATATAAATGTAAAAATATTTCCTTTTAAACAATAAAATCTTTAGCTATTTATTTATTTATTTATTTAGCTATTGCTGGGGCGGATGCAAGATTTGGTGTTAGGGGGTGCGCGAGAGTCCACATGGTTGGGGCTGAGGTGTGCAACTTTTCAGAATATGGACCTCTAGGTTTCCAGAAATTGCACTCTCATACCTTAAAAATCTTACCGGTAATTAATATCAACAATAAAATAAAACAATTATTTTTCTTAATACAGTTTAAGGGGGTTCGACCGCCTGCACCCCCTGCATCCGCCCCAGTATTGTTTGAGGCATGATTATTTACTGTGAAATAGCTCAACTGTGCCTGAAAGTTGCTCTTTTGCCGTTTCATACCATGCTACCTGAAGTTAAGTCAAGTGTGACAACAGTAGCTACCATATCGACTCTGTTTGTTAACCGAATGTGGCTGGAAAGTGATTGTGTATTAAAACCAACTGTGGCTGAAAACTGAGTGTGCTTGAAAGTCGACTGTGAAAGTTGCCATTCTGGCGTTCCATACCATGCTACCTGAAGCTAAGTCAAGTGTGAAATCAGAAGCTACCATATGGTTTTCTGGAAGGATGACATTACTGGTATATGGAATAGTGAAGCTGACATATTTCAAAAATTTAAATTTGGTTCATGTATTTTCTTTTTTAATGTACAGCAATGATCATTCAAAAAAAATATTCTTGATATATTAAACTAGTCCCTCAAAGGTGACAAGCTGTTTTCAAAGATACTATACTCCATATTATTTGAGATATAAAACAAAATGTTAAATGAAATTAGCATTACCATTGTAGATCTCTGCAAGCAGGAGTGCAGAGAGTGGTGTAAATTGAGAAGGCTTGTAAACCATTGTATTACCACAAGCTAAAGCGGGTGCCGATTTCCAACCAGCAATTTGTACTGGAAAGTTCCAAGCACCAATTCCAACACAAACACCAAGTGGTTCTCGTCTTGTGTATGCAAATGAGCCTCCTGGTAGTTGAATCTGTTGTCCTAAAAGAACAACATATCATTTGTTATTAGAGATCTCTTGGAAAGAGGCACAGTCTCTACACTAGCACTCTTGGAGATAAAAATTTGATAAAGCAACAGCTAAAAACTAAATGTATTGTAAACAGCTAGAAATAAAGACAACACCAGTCATTCATCATTGGTGAATGAGCACTAATTTTACCATTATTTGATTATGTATTTATATTTAAATAATACACATATTCTTTCCCTTAACATACTGTATTCAGCATACCGCAGGCCTATTGTACTTACACTGGACATTTTAAAACGTTATTTTAATGAATTTGCAGTAGTGTTTAATTGCCAGTGACTGAGGCAAATTTATACTACACTACTACTTCATGTAGGTGAACCCCTATGGAAATAATTGTCTTTTTTTTGCGATTTTGGTGTTATCCCTGCTCTTTTGTGATTTGATCTGTTCATGTATTTTTGTTTCTGTTGTATTTTTTTTAAAGAGCATATTAAATAAATCAAATCAAATCAAAATACACTAGACGGAATAGCCTCAGTCTTTCATCTGTTGCAAATAGTTATTATTACCTGAAATTGTAGGGGCTAACCCAGCATTGTACTCCAACCCATCAATAACAGACTGCACATCGACTCTAGCTTCCCAGATCGGTTTTCCATTGTCAAGGACCTCTAACTCTGCAAGCTCCTCTCTACGTTCCTGTAAAATACAAAAATCAGGTTCAAGTTCAATTTATTGTCGTATACAAATTATTGAAATTTGTTTTCCAAGGTTCACAATAAAAACAATGACACACTAAAATACAATACAAAGATACAATATAAAATAAGTTAACCTATGCGTAAAATGATAAAAAACATTATAAATATAAAAACCGATAAACATTGCAAACAACTGCACTGTAGTCGAGTAAAAATTGTAATAACTATAGAGTATAAGTTAAACCAGGGCAACTGAAATGAAATTTAGTAAATTACATTTTTGTAAAACATTTCAATTTCATGGATTACTGATCTCAAGTCAATGTGTCTCAATGTCACGCTGTGACATAAGTGATTGTTTTCAATTTAATTCAAATACAGTGGATGAAATTTAAAATGTTCTACTAGGTTCTGAAGGACATTCATACCTACTACAAAAAAGAAATATACAAACACATTGGTTTATAATGGGCCGAATAGCCCCCTTAACCCTACTGATTCAAGGTAAATTCAAGATAAATTCATGTTATTTTTTGTACAAAAAATATTTCTTTATGCTATTCTCTCATTTGTGTTATAAATAGATATTACTGGTATTGGGCCATAAAGTATTTTAACTTGTCAGGATGACCAGAGGTTCGGTCAGAGCTGTGGGCCCTGGACTTCAGCATTACAGTACATACATAACTCCTTTCATGACATGAACTTGTGAGATAGCAAACTTTAAGGTGCATTCTTAGTTCCTTTTTACCTTAATCCTATTGGCAACAGACAGTAATATTTTTCCTCGTTCAAACCCTGAGAGCTGGGACCACAGTGGAAAAGCATTTTTGGCAGCCTGCACAGCCCTATCAACATCTTCGGACCCAGAACTCACAGTCTCGCATATTATTTCACCTAGAATTAGAAAAAAAACCACCATGAAATACAATAACTTATAATAAGTGTTACACATATGCTACACATTGCTACCAAAAAAACATTGATGGGATTTTTCATTAACAGGTTATGGGCATAAATGTTACCCCTCCCCCCTAAAAAAGTATTGACCATAAAACACTAACGACCTTTACAAATGACGCGAGTACATACAATGCATCCCTATATTTTTCTTATTAACATCAATTTTTTTTGTTCTATATGCCCGTAGGAATAAAATGATACCAAGGAAGTTTAACTTGGGGGGGGGGGGGGGGGGGGCACGGTGACCCCCCCCACGGTCCCCCCCCCCCCCCTCCAGCCCATGGCCTATGTTATGAAATTTTGTCCTCATTTTGCACTTATGTAACAAATTTTAGGCATTTGCCAATGGAACATGTTTGAAGCCTGGGAAATATATAATGATTTAAGAAGGATTAATATTGACAAGGCTGGAGGACCTGATAATATTCCTCACAAGATCTTTACAAGAATGTGCTTTTGAGCTCAGTACTCGCATTATAGACATTATCAACACTTCGCTGGCACAGGCAAAAGCACAGTGCCCAGTACCAAAACAATACCCGGCTACCATTGACAAATTGCGCCCTATTATATCATTAACTCCAACACTAGCAAAACTTGCTGAAGGGCAGAGTCGCAAAAATTGTTGATAAAATAGCTAGTAGTTTTAGACAGTCTACAATATGGCAACCAGAAGGGTCAACCACTCATTGTCTAATTATTATTTACCACCATTCATGTCATGAGTGCCTTGGAGAGGCCAGCCAGTACCAACACGCTTGTGTTGACCGACTTCTCAAAGGCTTTCGATACGGTGGATCACACCATTGCCTTTGAGAAACTTTTATGAGAATGAATTTACATTAATAAAATTACCAAATAAAACAAACATTTCATTAAAAAATAAATAAAAACGATTTATAACAGTAAGTCAGAAAATTTTCTTTCCCCCCCCCCCCCCCCCCCCAAAAAAAGAGAAACCACAATTCATCAAGAAGACAAATGGACCTGGGCCTGTATTTTCTACATATTATTCTTTATATTATAGACTATCCAGAGGACACGGAACTAGGGGGTGCTGCATTATGGAGAGTAATGTGTGACCGGAAATGGTCTGCCAGTTGGTTGTTACCATGTGCCAGTGATGTTGGAGTACAACAAGATGAAAACTATTTATGTAATGCATGAATAAAGTTCGGGGTTTGCCGGGTAGTGAAATGATTATTGTACATTTTAAGTGCTCCCTCCATGCATAAGTGTAAGCTAAATTATGGTGATTAATTAGCAAAGATATGGAGACAATTATTTCGAAGTTCCCTCTTTCCAAGAGGGGATGCAATGCTTTGTGAAAATGAGTACGCCGTGGTACTCATTTTCACAAAGGAATACACTCAGCTGGTTAGCTAACAATAGGCCTATACAAATTTACACGAACACCTGGGAAGAAAGGTGCAATCACGTTCTGTTGCCTAGCAAAC